AAACTATTTCCCGAACACTCCGATGAGTATATGAGTATAAACTGCATCTCCCTGAACCTCCCAACGGGTATATGAGGTTAAACTGTTTCCCGAACACTCCAATAGAGCATATGAGTATAAACTATTTCTCTATTTTTCAACAACAGTTCTGATTCAAGACTTCGACAACGGCCACGCGATAAACGCAGTACCGGAGGAATTTTAGCTATTCTACAAAGCACTGAGTAGACTAAAAGATAAAGAAGTCAAGGATTAAAGCCATTCACAGATCATTCTACGCAACTTCTTCAACAAAGCACTAGAAAAATTGCAAGGAAAGCTTATCATATCCAAAGTGTCCCAGACTCCTCTCTAAAAAAATGATGATGAGTCTGAGATACTTTGGAGGGGGTATCTGTAGGCGTCGAAAAATGCTTGCAGACATCCAAATAACACTCAAAACAATATGGGAGAACAATTTACACGTCATCAGGCAACACAAGATGGCACGGCAGCCCATGGCGTCGCGGCTAAGGCGCGACAGCACATAGTGCCGCGGCTAAGGCGCGACAACACATAGTGTCGCAGCTAATGCGCGACAGCACATAGTGCCGCGGCTAAGGCGCGACAACACCCGCGCCAATAGCCGCGGCAGTGTAGACTGCAGCGGCCAAAGAGAAAGCATTTGGTCAGTTATTTCGCCCCCGTTTCAACTGTGGTGCACTGAGACCCCTATAAATACCTCCCTACACACGAAATAAAGGACGGAGGGCATTTTGGAGCAGAAGAGACTTGAGTCTTTGGTGATTTTGAGAAAGAAAGAGAGAATTTTCACCCTTTGACAAGCATCATTTGGTGAATCCTAGAGATCTAAGCTCAGACTTGATCTTTGGAAGAACGGACATCTTACATCGATAAGATATTCGTTTTCAAATCTTTACTTCGATAAACGAAGGAGAGATCTCTAAACAACCTCTCGATCTACGAATCGGTGGTCCACGAACTAAAGCGTTCCCGGCATAGGCAAAGTCCCACAAAAACAGTAGTTGATAAACGACTTCTGTGTTATTTTCTCGAGAGTTGTATTTTCTTTTATTTTCATTGTAATTTCTTGTAAACACATCAAAGTTTAATGGAATCTGCAATGGAAACAACTTTCGCTGAAAACATTCTTAGCAAGGGAATTCGGCTTCAAATAGTTGAGAAATCTTGTTATACCTATAAACTGCACTAAACTTGGTCTAACATAGATCTCTCATCCCACACTAACAGAATGAAGAAGACTACTAAAGAAAGGAACGGAAGACTACTATCATTATCATCTAAAATATCTGAATCTTGTCATACCAATAAACTGCACCAAAAGAGTAGGTAATCTTAATTGTCTTTTACTAAGTCAAATTGATCTCCAGCCAACAAAATAGGAGATGAAAACTAAAGAGAGTCCTCCTAGGGTACAAACAAAATTCAAAATATAATACATTATCACTCCAAGGGTAGGAAAATCTTATTGATTTTAAAAACACTATTTGGCAGCATATATAGAAACATCTCACCAACAAAAAGATAAGCCGATTCTTTATTCACATAATACACATGTACAAAATCATAAGGCTCCCAAATCATGAAAGTGATGTCAATCGGTCTACAATATTTGACAAAAATTCAAGAGTCAAGTTAAAAGATATGCCGACTTTATGCCGGCCGACTTTATGCCGGCATCATTCAAGGTTAAAATATCAAATGAAGAAAAGGAACGCGAGCTAGTAATTAACTATGCTGACCAAGTCAAAAAAAATTGGTTCGATGATTTACTTGATATTTCTCAAGGGAGACAATAATTTGAGTTAGACTTATGCTGATGGTTTTGACCAGTACTTGATGCCATATCAAGCTGACAATAGAGAGTAATAGTAGGAAGGATGAAGGACAGGAGGAAGAGAGGGAGGGACAACAGTTGATCCAAGAGTAAAATAACACATAATTTAATTTTGAAACTGAGAGGTGTTTCAGTCTTAACTAATAGCAATTTCTCATCCTATCTGACAAATTGAGTTAATGCACTATCCAATGCATTACATTAGATACGCATCCTTAGCACTGATGGTGTAAAATTTATGAAGAAGCAAGTGATATAGCATCAAACTTGAAGAGTGTGCACAATGTATGATGAACAGATACTGTTAGTAACTAGTCTAGTAAAGATCAAACTCTCAACAAAATTCTTCAATATGTTATAACATGATCCATCGGAAAGTCACAAACTGCCCCAGTTTAGAACCACTCCAAAAGTAAGAGAGCTATAGTCCTCATATTCAGTGTGTTTCTTTCCTTCATCAGTTCTCTTCTCGCTAATGCTACAACAACTTATTTTTGGTGATCCAATCATCTAGAATGCTACCTCTCGACAACTAAATATCCAAGATTTCATATACAAGATATATACAGGATCTGTTGTTGCAGCATAACAAAACTTCAGGACTAACATACAGAGTCTCTTACAGAAAAAGTGCTACCAAGTTGACAATGAGATATAGACTACACAAACAAGTATAAACAATCTACTTAAATGGTGTAAGGGATAGCTTGAGGTTCAAGACACTTGAGTCGTTTCGTTTAGAGAAAGTCGCCTGATTACAGGAAAGTGGGTGATTTCTACAATAGTGTCTCTTAGGGGGTGTTTGTTTCATTTTTTTTTTTTTTTGGATATAGGGTGGATTTTAAGTTTTGGGATGTAAAAAGGGGTTTTTTGGGGTTTTAGAATTCCATAAACCATGTTTGTTTCAAAAAAAATTTGGGATATTGAATCCCCAAATTATAAAAAACTACTAAATTTTAGAATTTGTGAAATCCTCTCTCAAAGACAGGATTTAGGCTGGATCTCTGACAAACCATGTCCAGCTCATCACAACGCCGAGATCCCGAAATCTCAAAGGAACTCCCATCACCGCTTCACTTTCGTCTCCCTCCTCTTTTACCTGCCGTGTCCAATTTCCGCGCGAAAACTCCACCTTCTTCTTCTCTCACTCCCTTATTCCTTTCCTCATCACTCCTCAAAACTCCCCAATTTCTAGGTTAGGGTTTTAGCTCCCACGAAAACCTCCTCAAATCCCCCAAACCTTAGAAATGACGTCCACATCCACCGCCCAATTCCAGCTCCTCACCTCGTCCTCCCCTATGCCCTCCTCCAAAAAACCCTTCTCCTCCTCAAACTCCCTCTTCTTCTCCTCCTTCAAACCCTCCAAAACCAACCTCAGACTCCGGCAATCCACTGCCCACCCTCTCCGCGTCGTAAACGAGAAGGTCGTCGGAATCGACCTCGGGACGACGAACTCGGCGGTGGCGGCGATGGAGGGAGGGAAGCCGACGATCGTGACGAACGTCGAGGGGCAGGCCGTTAGATGCTGTGATGTCCCCAAGTTACTGACTCCTTTTAGATGATCGACAGTTGGTAACTTGTTATGCTTTTTCTTTCCATACAACCAATTTTTAGTATTTTCTTTTGAATTGTAAGAGTGATTTTATGAATGCTGAAGATCCAACGATGCTATTCTATCCAACAAACATCATTGAACTGCTTGCTGGTTTATTACAGACTATTAAAATGTTGCAAAATTCATTTGGGGTGTTTGTTCAAGTGTTTGATGTTGGTTACTTGGTTACTTGTTGCTTGTGAGCTCAGGTTACTTGTTTGCCGCTGTTTAGGTGCTTGCTGCTGGTTGCTTGTGAGCTCATGGTTACTTGAGCTGTTGCAAAATTCATTTGAGGGTGTTTGTTCAAGTGTTTTTTGAGTTAATGAATACATTGTTTACTTGCTAAAAGTGGGTTTTTTGAGTCTTTCGGATTTAGCTATGATGATTGGTCACATATTGATATTGCCGACTACAAAGGGATTTCATTGTTTACAGGAGGCGTTCATTAATGAGAATGCAGTCTAGATTGCTTTTACAATTTTTAGATGAGGCAGACCGTTATTTGAATGAAATCGGCAATGCAATTTCATTATATAAGTGTTGAAAATAAAATGACCATTTTCTGAGCCTCTATGTTATCAATTATTTTTGCATTTTATTATTTATATTGTCTCGGGTTAGTTTATGACTGTTTATAGCCGTTGGAGTATAAATTTGAATGGGTATGCTTACCCCAATTAAATACAATTGTATTTGTTTTTTTGTTGAAGGTAAGCTCACCAAAGTTCTTATATTCACCATTTATTATTTTGGTAATCCTAAAACTTGTTTGCTATAACTATGGATTTCAAATTCTAAAATTTGTAATGCCACAATTTGAGTTTGAAACAAACAAAATATTACAAATTATAGTATTCCAAATCCTAAAATATTGTTGAAACAAACAAAGTTTTAGGAATCCCAACTCATAACAAAACACCTATGGATTTCAAATCCCATGGTGAAATCCATATCCTAAAATTATAGGATTTGAAACAAACACCCCCTTAATGTCCCTTCCACTATATTGTATCTCTGAAACTATAGTAAGAATTGAATATTATAATTTTATATTCTAATATGTCCCTGTTGGTTGAGCAATCTTTTCATGGGCTGAAACCTAGACAATTTTACACAGAAAATATTTTCTAAATCCGCTTAAATGTACATCTGGTGGAAATTCAAACCTTAGTGGCTTCAATATCAGCTTAAAACCTGTTTAACTACACAAGAACTCCGAACCGATGGTAAATATTAAGGTTGTAATTTTATACTCTAGTTTCAAAATAAGACGCAAGCTAATATTATCAAAAAGCACTTTTCAAATAAAGTCATGTTTCTTGACGAAGGAATAACACTTAAAACACCTATATCTAACAACAATTTTTTTTCCAATCACTAGAATTATTTAAGTAAAAGCAAAGTTTGATGTGTCACAACAAGCAAAAAAAATCTATAAATGAACAGATGATCTATATAAAAAACAGAGCAACACAGAAACACGACATATCAATAAAATATCGATCAAATTTATGTTAAAATTATCAGAATATATAACCCAGAAAATACCTGACTAGGAACCTGCCTCTGATAAAACACTGACCCCGACTTGAACTCATCCTTATAATTCGGCAACGAATGAATATAAATTGAGTAATACTCTTCATGCCCTTCGAAGAATCTCTCCCAAAGAGGAGAAAGCGGCAAAGGCCCTCTCGTTAAAAACATGAACGCAACTTTAGGAACTCTCTTGTGCGGATACTTCTTCAGCTGAGGAACAAACGAAGCTCTCCAAAAGAGCTCTTCATCATTCATCGAATGCTTCGAGCTCGAAGGAGGCTTAATCCAACGCTTGAATTCATTCTCCTCAGTAAAACACTGCTGAATTAAACCGAGCCTAGGCTGCAAGATCACGTTTTTAACATCAAAATAGCGAGTTGTGTACACGCTGAGTACTGATATAACAACGCCCAGAGACAGGAACAGAAGGAAAATCTTGATGATTCTCAATGGAAAAGGTTTATGTTGAGCTCTGGGTAGCAAATCTTTCCCTTCTTCTAAAGGCAAAACCCTAGCCAGCATCCTGGAACGATCAGGAATCGACCCAAAGACGAAATTTTGCGATCTGGGTTTTGTTATTCCAACGATTTTACGCCAAAAAAACGCCACTAAGGAAATAAATTCAGAGCAAAACGACCCAAAACAGAGAAAAAGGTGGAGACTTTATTTACTTTCTAGAGAGCTCTTTAATTGGGGACTTTGGATTTTTCCTCTTCTCTTCACTGAAGGAAGCAAAAGAAGAGGAACCCCATTAGAAAGTCTCTCTGGCTGAGTTCATACAAATAATAAGAGCAGCAGCGACAACAACAAAAACCAAAACAGCTCTGTTTCGGTTTCTTGAAGACGTGACGGATTGAGCGAAGAGGAAGAAGGGGGGCACTTCCAACGGTTGGTGGGGCCCAGCGAGTGTGGGATCAGCAGCCAGAAAAGAATAGAATAAGCGAGAGGAGAACTTTGGCGTGAACAGAAATTAATGAGGAGGTGAAAGAGGAGGCGGCGTGGCGGGGGATTAGAATATAGAATGAAATTAAATTTAGGGTTAATGGTGAACTAATGGAGGGATTATGAAATAAATGGGGGTGGAATTTCGGAGATTTTGGAAATTCAAGGTTTTGTTCGGGGTCAGACAAGTCAACCGTGGGGGTTGCCGTGTTGAAGGGGTTTTTGGTGACTTTGGATTTTTGGACGTTGAGTGATCAAAGAGAGGAAATTTATAGGTCGGTTTAAGAGGAGGCAAGGATGCCACCTAAATATCTAAAATTGTTTAGCATGTTCATATGTAAACAAATAAATAAAGGTGCTCTGATTCTTCATTTTTTTATCTATATTCTTTTGCAAATTATAAATATACTTTGATGCTTCATTTTATTTATTTTTGTTCTGTGATATTCTAGAGTTATTCGATTCACTTCACATAGGAAGATGATCCATAAAAAAAACTGAATTGAAGAATAACATATTCTAAAATTTCAAGATATATACTTCGTCTTTGTTGTTTTTAAGATTACTTTATGAATCTTTATATTTATTAACTCATGTATAAATCTTCGTTAAACAAATAACTGAAGAAGTGACGAGAGAAGCAGCAGGAAGTTCAGAAGAATCAGCCAGGCAGACTGGCGGTCGACCGCGAGTCAGCGGTGGTCGATCGCGAACGTGCATAGAAGAGCAGTAGGATTCGGAGCTGAAGGCGGTCGGCCGTGGTGGTCGACTACGCGTACCCTGTAGGTGATTTTCGGTCTCGGGATGAGATTCGGTCGACCGCGCCATGACTGTAATCGATTCTACTCTTGGGTGTAGGCGTCAAAAAATGCTGAGAGATATCCGAATACAGCTCAAAAAGGCAGAAGAACACAAGTATGGACTGTCTCGCACGCGAGACAGTCTTTACTGTCTCGCAGGCGAGACAGTATTCTCTGTCTCGCCATGCGAGACCCATGAGACAGTTTTCAAAGAAGTTAGAAACCACTTTATAACCGCCGATACGTGGCCACCAACTGTTCAAGAACGTGGGGAATGTCGTGGGCGAGAATCACGTTGATAACTGCCAAAATAACGGAGTTTGAAACGTGGGAAGGCAGTTAAAACAAAAACTGCCTGACAGTTACTATTTCCGAGACAACGTTTACTGTCTCGCGGGCCGAGACAGCAAACACTGTCTCGCCCGCCGAGACAGCAAACACTGTCTCGACAGCCGAGACAGCAAATGCTGTCTCGCGAGCCTGTTTTCCGCCAACTGTTCCTATGGGTTATAAATACCCCCCCGAAGGCCATTTTTGAAGGGGGCTGATCATTTGGAGCACTTCAGAGCAGACAGAGCAGAGTTCTTGAGCTTCCGGCAATCCCTTGATATTCAGGCTTTGACTTGATTTCAAGAAGAACGACTATCTTACCTTGATAAGATATCGTTTCAAGTTCTCACTTCGATAAACGAAGTCAGAATCATAAACCCCTCACGATTCAATCAGAATCTGTGATTTGGTGGTCCACGGGCTAACGCACCCCTGGCACAGGCAAAGATCCCACGCAAGCAGTGATCCAAACAACGATCCTTGCGTTTGTTTCCCAAGAGTTGTAATTTTTATTTTGTTGTGTAAAAGAAGTCTTATAAAAAGGCTATCTCTTTTTGAGTTTATTGTAATCGACCGAAGATATAATGAATTCTATGACAAAACCAACTTTTGACGCAAACAAGCTGGCGACCACAGTGGAATTCATTATATCTTCGGTCGATTACAATAAACTCAAAAAGAGATAGCCTTTTTATAAGACTTCTTTTACACAACAAAATGAAAATTACAACTCTTGGGAAACAAACGCAGGATCGTTGTTTGGATCACTGCTTGCGTGGGATCTTTGCCTATGCCGGGGGTGCGTTAGCCCGTGGACCACCAAATCACAGATTCTGATCGAATCGTGAGGGGTTTATGATTCTGACTTCGTTTATCGAAGTGAGAACTTGAAACGATATCTTATCAAGGTAAGATAGTCGTTCTTCTTGAAATCAAGTCAAAGCCTGAATATCAAGGAGTTACAGAAGCTCGAGTACTCTGCCCTCTCTGCTCTGAAATCAGCCTGTGGATGCTCTCTGATCAGCCTCCTCCATAAAAATGGCCTTCGGGGGATATTTATAACCTCCAAGAACAGTTGGCGAAAAACAGGCTCGCGAGACAGCATTTGCTGTCTCGGCTGTCGAGACAGTGTTTGCTGTCTCGGCGGGCGAGACAGTGTTTGCTGTCTCGGCGGGCGAGACAGTGTTTGCTGTCTCGGCCCAAACAGTAAAAGACTGTCTCTCCAAACAGTAAAAGACTGTCTCTCCAAACAGTAAAAGACTGTCTCTCCAAACAGTAAAAGACTGTCTTGCGAAACAGTAAAAGACTGTCTCTCCAAACAGTAAAACACTGTCTCTCCAAACAGTAAAACACTGTCTCTCCAAACAGTAAAACACTGTCTCTCGAAATAGTAAAAGACTGTCTGGCGATACAGTAAAACACTGTCTGGCGCCCGAGACAGCAAACACTTGTTTCTTATGTTCTTTTGATCTTTGGATGATCTCCTTTTAAGCTGTATTTGGATATCCATCAGCATTTTTTGACGCTTACAGATACCCCCTCCAAAGTATTCCAGACTCATTCTTTTATAGAGGAGTCTGGGATACTTTGGATAAGATAGATCTTATCTGCAATTCCTTCAAGGCTTGATTGAGTAGATCATACGGAAGGACTCATAAATGGCTTCAATTCTTGACTTCGTCATCTTTTAGCCTATTCAGTGTTTTGTAGAATAGCTAAAATTCCTCCGGTGCTGCGTTTATCGTGTGACCGTCGTCGAAGTCTTGAATTAGAACTGCTATTGTAGAGATAGTTTATACTCATATACTTTATTGGAGTGTTCGGGAAATAGTTTAACCTCATATACCCGTTGGGAGGTAATCAGGTTATTCTTAAGAATATTTTGAGTAATATTCTCCAGAAACTTCCTGTTGATGGTAGGGAAACAGTTTAGACTCGTGTACCTATTGGAGTAATATGGTACCCGATGATGGAGAGGGAGAATTTTATATTCTATCTCCTGGTCTTTTTTGTTGGTAGAGATGAACCCAGAATCGGAGAGGAAGAATTTTATATTCTATCTCCTGGTCTCTTGTTTGTTGGTAGAGATGAACCCAGAATCGGAGAGGAAGAATTTTATATTCTATCTCCTGGTCTCTTGCTTGTTGGTAGAGATAAACCCGGAATCGGAGAGGAAGAATTTTATATTCTATCTCCTGGTCTCTTGTTTGTTGGTAGAGATAAACCCAAAATTGGAGAGGAAGAATTTTATATGAATTTGAGACGATCCTAACTGTTTAAAGGTTTGATCGTTCAATTTGTGGACCTCTCGTTCATGGAACGAATCGAGAGGGGATTTTGGCTTTGGTCCTAACTGTTTAAAGGTTTGACCAAAATGGGAATTTTGTGAGGGAAGATTGATCTAAAGAGGTGATCGAATCTCATCTCAGCAAAAGAGTATTCGGAAGTCATAGTAGGAGTTTAGTGTTTATCACTTTGTTCATAATGATCGGGGTTATCCCTAAGAATATTACATTTAACATTCTTCCGGGAACTTCCCGTTACATGAATTATCCACCCCCAGCTTTCTTTGCAAAACTGGGTGTAACGAGGAGTTCGTTATCCTCAGTCGCATGTTCGGGTTATCCTTAAGAATATAAGATTCTCCAGGAACTTCCCGTTATATAAATCATCCACCCCCAGCTTCCTTTGCGAAACCGGGTTTAACATTGTACTCAGTTGGATAATCGAGAAGCAGTTTATACTCATATGCTCTTTGGAGTGTGGGGAAACAGTTTATACTCGTGCACCCACTGGAGTTATATGGTCGTCTTTACTCGACTTCTTTCGTCGTTATGACGCCGGAGTCAATTAGGGCTTGGATCTTGTTTTTGAGTCCAAAGCAAATCTCGGTGGGATGAAGAACCCTTCTGTGGTACGCACAGTAATTTGGATCCGTAATCCTCTTAGCACCCTCCTGATCTTTAATAGGCGGTAGCTCGATTTTGTCATTAGCGAGGAGGTATTCCAATATGGCTGGAGCTTCATCATCTTCGAAAGAATATTCCTTTTGAAACCTCGGATCGAGAGTCGCATTCTCAACGATTGCAGATGTCATTGGTTGGCCTCTCTCAGCTTTCTTTCTTTTAAGAAAGCGCTCAGCTTGTTCACCCCGAGATTTTAACTCCTTCCAAGTTGTGGATGGCACGACCACCAGAGCTTCCAGGACATCGATGGAGAGGGTATTGTGGCATGTTTGCAGGATGAACTCCTTCGTGATAGGATCTCTGCAATTCATTGCTTTGTTACGGAAACGTTTGACAAAGTTGTCAACTGACTCTCCGTCTTTTTGCTTCTCATCCAAAAGGGTTCCGATTGACACTTCGGTGTCATCATCGAAGAAATTGCTGAGGAACAAACTTTCCATGTCATCCCAGCAATTGATGCTCCCTGGGTTGAGCCGTCGGTACCAATCGAAGGCGGGCCCACGAAGGGTGCCAACGAATGACCGAACCATTAAAGCCTCGTTTCCAGAAATCATGTCTAAATAAGACTTGAAATAAATCAAGTGCTGAATCGGCGAACTCTCCCCTTCAAACGGTGTGAAGTTAATCAGATTGAACTTCGCCGAGTACGGTATTAAATCTCATTCCCTTGGATAGGGACATGGAATACCCGTCTTCTTAACTTCTTGAGCTGTCATCAAAGCATTGACTTTGTTTTCAAGCTCTTTCATTTTCCCGTCATCGTCTATGTCTTCATTCGAATGACGTTGAGGAAAATGAGTTAGACCACCCACTGTGAGAGGTGCCATTGAACCACTCCCAATATCGTTATTGGGAGAATGTGTTAAACCACCCCCAGCGTTATTGCTATTAGGAGGTGTATCAGCCATAATGACTTCATCCACCTCTGGATCACTGTCCTCTACAACATTCCGAGTGTGGTGGCTGGATTCAAGTCGCTGATTGGACTCAGGAGGTTGAGGCTGTTGAGTTAACAGTTCTCTCATTTGTTGGATAGCCAACTTCATTTCTGTCTTCACTTCAGCTCTAATTTCTTCACGTTGTTTG